CAGAATACTCAATACAGATTATATTATACAGACGGAATAATCAACATACCAGCGTTATTATTTTGAACATTATACTTATATGATTATCTGCATATTGGTTATATAGTAGAATAATAATATAATAGATACTCGTATATAAATTTCTTTTATTACTATATGTGCCAAGAAATAATTTGTGTAATAATGTGTAATGTCTAAAATGTGTAATAATATTGTATTATAGATGTCAGTACCTAAGTATTRTATTGTAATATCGTAATCGTTAATTTCCAATTTAAAATCATCATTATTGGTGGAAAATTCGGTAAATCGCATAATATGGCACTATATAAAAGTTATGACGTCAAAAATTTATGTCACTAAATCATTGATAGAATATCGCTTGTCACAGTAAAACGCATTTTCTAAATAATTATATTTGCATTGGTTGTATATTATATTATACCGACGAAATGCATGTCAACTGAATATAATTATTAGGTTCAATTGCGTCGTAATCGGATGCTCCATAGCTAAACACATTTACATACGACATTACGATGGATGAAATTRAAAAAACATAAATTACTTTTGTCGGTAGTAAACACTACACATACGAACGAGCAACATACTCGCACAAATTTCCGTAAACCAATTATTAGTGTTCTAAAATAAATAGGTGATAATCATAGGCGAAACTAGAAAATTGTATTAGGACAGGCCAAATGAAAAATATGAAAAAAAATTCTAATTCTAAAATAAGTTTTTTTATTTAAATTTTAAATTGTATTATATCAGTATATTATCCAGTTAGTATTAGGTCAGGCCACGGCCTGCTTAGTGGCCTGGCCCGTAGCTCCGGCTATATGGTGATAATAATACTTGAACATTTCTTGTATTAACTTGATGATGTACGAKTATGTATCATATTTATAATATAATGTTCAAATAATATGATATATAATGTTAATTATTTGAATATTCTAAGTATCGGGTTTATGATTTAATTGATTTATTATCTTTAAAATAATTATCAATGTTTTACATGTTAAAAACCTTTTCTGGATTTATAATACGAGTCATCAAAACTCAACTATTTTATACTAGCTATAAACTTATTTTTCTTTAAAAACTATAAAATGTTATCGAATACATATCGCTATCACCTAAAGTAATCACTATATTATTAATTGTAAATAAAACATAACATATATATTACTTATTGATCAGTTTCATCGCTGTAGACGTGATTATGTGAGCATACCTACTCCCTAACTAGCAAATATCTTCAAAACACAATAATTAATGAACGGATTTATCACCATATATTACTATTATWAAATAAATATTACATGTTATCTACAAATATCTGGTTATAGAGGAAATTCGAATTTCAAGATGAGGAAGAGACTGTGAGAGAGATACTATAGGTACCTTATACTACTTATCTAATATTTATAAGTACAGAACAAAAAAAAAATGCTTCTATAAATGATCATACATACATACATATATACATACATACGTATTATGTACATATTTATGGCTCAATATAGTAACTAGTACCTCGTTTGACTCATTATCTTCGTCACTGTTATCCGGATAACTGCGGCCCAACCGCACCCTGTCTTCACTGTGATGCTGATCGTTTAGAAACTCTAAGGATCTATAACATTATAATCGAAATAAAACATATGAAACAAATTCAATATTTTTTACCATGTATATAGAATATAGATACTTAACAGAGTGGGTAGTAAACAAACTAGTATCGATAATAATGTTTTTAAACTCCCCTTCCTCGCAAAAGCTGAAATAATCATTTACGCCTTAAGGGTAGTTACTAGTTATAATCTTAAAATGCGTTGAAAATAATAATACAATAGATAAACGTATTTAATATGATCGTATGGTCAATAATAATTTCAAGTAGGTATTCTTGTTTATACGAAAAATACTAACGATGTAACATTCATACAATTCGTATATGATATAATATGTTGTGCTTTAGTACTATTATTAGTAWCATTATATGCTTAATATTTGAAATTTAAATACCCATACATTGTTTTTAAACATTATTTTTTTATTATTTACTATTATTKTTGCGCACTCGTTTAAATTCTCCTCGTCGTTTGAATGTTGACACAAAACGATATTGTGACTAAATTTTAATCTAATCTTACTTATTAATAGTCGTAATTTGAGGACATAATAATTTATAAGTCCACGAATTAACTAWCTATTATCTATTATAAATGTACTTAGYATAAGTTAAAAAAATTAGTAAAYGTCATAATACGACCTAATTGCACTTAGTAACTACAGTCCATGTTACTTTTAATTATTGTGAAAGGCATTGGGATTTAATGAGTTTTTGGATATATTTACGTAGAGGTACATAACTTAATTACTTTATTCTAATATTTATATATTACATGATTTCATTATTTTTCAAAACTTATTTACCTCCAACAGTCCATACGTATGCAGTACTACTGATAGTATAAAATTATTTGTCGTACTATGTACTATTTTATATTATATACTATGTTACTATATAGTATAGTATTATAAGTGCATARCAGGATCTCTTACTTGTAATACCACAAACTGGGCTCGTATACTCCACCATATCTTTTGGCATCCATTACTTTTTTGAATTCCCGCAAGTAACAAGTTCTCAGATTCGCTATTTTACGTTTCAGGTCGTCCATTGTACAGCTCTCGTTATACCTAGATTCAATATATAATATAAGATAAACAAAGAACAGAACGCACTGCATAAAATAAAAATGTATAAGAAATGAGTTCGAGTTTACCATATACTTTTAAAAAAAAAATAAGAAATCTATATACCTTTCTGATTTTTAAGTAGATGCTTACACATAAAACTGTTGCTGACCTGATAGTATCAATCTAAAATATTTTATATTTATGCATCGATAATTTTCCTGGCGTCATCTTTTATCATACCTAGCAGTTGAAATCAACTGATTTGACTGCAAAACATATTTTTAATTTATTTCAAAATTACAGACTCTTCGTGTTAATGCAGTAAAWTTTTTTTTACAATTACACAAAGTATTCATTTGAAGGAAAACGTAAAGAAAAACAGGAGTGCTAAGGTTTGTACATTATGGTTTAATTGTTTATTTTTTTATGATAGTCTTCTATAAATATAAGATTTTACTCATATTATTATTAGCCAATTTCAATAACACTATTCATAATAACTTAAGAAATAAAATAGAAAAAAGTTGGTCTTAGAACGTCAAAAAAAAAATATGGTGATAGATAAGATTAATCATATAGAAAATATAAAACGTGAGTACAGCGTGAGAAGCTGATTAAAAAAAATTACTCAGAACTTAGCAGCTCCAAACCAAAAGTCAGCAAATGTACATCATACGTGGCCTCCATTATAGCAGCCGTCGTCGACGTGCGTCAATAATATTCTTAAAAACGGTGGACGGTGGAGGGAAAAATCGTTATAGGCTTATAGCGCATGTGACATAACGCCGTTTATTATAATGATATTAG